ATCACCAATGTAAATAATTTCTGGTATCTTTATTTAACAGTTCTGTTTCTTGAGTTTGGTGCCTTTCTCTCTAGCTCTGTCTAGTGCTTGCCCAAGGCGCATATCATGCTCCTCATCATTATTGGCATTGATCAATATGTCATCGAAAATGACATCAACTCCATCTATACCCTCAAATGCTTGTTGCATTTTCTTCTGGAATACTTCATTTGAGTTTAATGCAAAGGGTAACTTGTTGAACTTGTATTGCCTGAATGGGATGTTAAATTTTGTTAATTTGGATGACTCTGCATCTAGTTTCACATACCAATAACCATCTTTGGCATCTAGTTTCCTGAAAACTGTAGCAACGGATAATTTACTAGTCACTTCATTGGCTGCAGGCAATTGGAAATGTTCACGTTGCACAGGCATTATGTTCTACGATAGGTTTTGACACTACATCTGCTACAACAAATTCAAGTCTTTTCTCTGTATTGTTGTGTTTGCAAGTTACTATTGTGTCACCCAGTGCTCTAATCGTGTGTCACCATATGATGTCAAGCGTATATCTGTTTTCTTCAACTTTGGTTTATTATTCATGCGACTGTATACTCTATCTGAGATGACGTTTACTTGGGCACCTGTGTCCAACTGCATTTTATTTTTGTCAACCAACAGATTTACATACTACTCATCGTACATAGTGTCATGTTTGTCAATAATTCTCACAAACAAATCTATATTGGGTTCATACTCTGTGTATAAATTTTCTTTGATCTACAGACTGTGTATACAGCGTTATCCTCGTTCAAGGACAAGTCTTGCCTATAACGTTTTGACTGCTCAGATGCACGACAAATGTCAATGGCTCTTGCCAGGTTTAAGTCAGTTTCCCTTAAGGTAGAGATGCAGTTTACATGACAGGTATTTTAATTAGTTAACTAGAAAACCAAGATGACCTTTCTTGTCTACAAAACTATATATTTTCGGAAAGCTTATTGTATGAATTTTAAAAATGTTTTAGTATTTTTTATGGACACTGTAGTTTGTAATATGCACAAAAAATGTGCTTTTTTGGTCAAAAGTGATTTAAAAAAATAGCTCCTAAACCATGCTTCTGTTTCCTGTCAAAATTGGTTTATGGGTACTTCTGTTTACTATGAAGAAAGTGCCGTCATGAAAACTGTCTACCAGTTGTCAATTTTGCAGGGCAGCAGCCCAAATTTCACTACAATACGTGCAAATTTTAAAACATTCTATAAACTTTAAAAAAAAAACTCTAAATAATCTGCACGACTTTTCACTATGTGTGAATGTGTGAATTACAATAATACAAAATACACAAAAAATGTTCATATCTTTTCCATGTCTGCAACAAAAATGTGTTTCACCAGTTGATTTTCTCAGGTAGTCTCCCGTGCAAGTAATTGCCAAGCCTGATTGATCTTAAATTTTATGATAGGTCGATCACCTGATCACTCTGCTATATGGATCATTTCAATTTTGTCCGAATTAGCGGCCATTAAATTTCTCGAAATGTATCAAAATTGCCTTCGTTCGCACTTTTGTCTTTCGTAAGTTAACTTATGACCTCTACATTCTTCAGGTGTCAGTAGGATAATAAACGGCCATTTACGACATTTTTATTTTTTTCGAACTTTGTAACGATGGATAATATAACAACAACAGTCAAAATTCCATGAAAATTTGCCAATATTGCAATCACTTTTCACAACATTGTAAGCAGTTTGTTTATCATTTTACGTTTTAATAGTGGTATGATCTGCTAATATGAGGGACTTTTCAATCACTTTTACTTGTTTTCTAAATTTTACTGCGGGGTCAATATAGGTTATGACTTAGGTCAATATAATATATATTGAGGGTGTCATCATATGAGCATCGTCTCTCTGTCTCATACGACTTGTTTACCACTTCCGTGTCACTGAGAATGTTCTAGAACCGTACTGTGTCTGGGTGGAATATTCTAGATTTCTTTTAGAAACTGGTTGAATAGGTAATAGAACACTGTAGAAGGCAATTGAAGGTAATGGAACATTCTAGAAATTTGTAGTAAGTTCCAGACTCATTATGTATGCTGATGTAATGGTCTATTTATAGACAGTGGGGGTATATATAGGGGAGTTGTTCAGCACTGAGTTCAGATCGGAGATCTCGTTGAATTGTATTGGAGTTTAAGTATCTAGTTATTGGAGTAGTGGAGTTTTACCGCGTTATTGTACTTGATGTTTGCAGAGTATAATAATACTAGTACCAGTTGAAACCTCATCTGTTGGCTCCGTGTTCGTGTATTGCTTAGAGAATCGCTCGCTAGACACTGTAAAGGACACTGTGTAACTCAAGGACGTTGAACTCTTTTCCACAACCCTAACCCTATTGCTCAGTAATGTAATGTATTGCTTGCTTTTCCTATCGTTTTTACCGTTTCTTTCAGTGATGTTGAATTGTATGTATGTAAGCGCTGATATTTAGTGACGTTCGAGGTCCTTTATAACGATTTAAGCGCGCCTCAGTGGACAAGTATTTGCAACACAGTGTTTCGAGTTTTGTGAATTTTTATGGAGTTTTAATGAGTTTATGAGTACGGATATGATGGGGAAAGTAATGCCCCAATGAGTTTTTTTTCAGAGTTTTGAGATTTGTCGATGTACAGAGATATCGACGTTTTAAGAGTTGTTTTTGTTTATGTGTTGTTTCCGGAATACTTCTGACCCTTTTTGAGTTTAGAGCATCTTTGTAACGTTTTTTAATGTCTTTTTGAGATGAGAGTTTGGTGCGCTTATATATGTATTGTTTGATAACGCAAGCTTTTGTTCATGATTGACAGGTTTATATGTAACTCAGTAGTTTCTATCGTTTTGCTTTTCCCCGTCTTTTTGCCAGAGGAGTAATGTGTTATGATAGATTTGTCTTTCCATTCTGTTTCCACGCCGTATGACTTTTGTTTAGATTAACGACTTTTGAGTTCAGTTGAAGTTTATAAGCGTATATGACAGGAGTTTGATTAATAGCTTTTTATTCATTGTTTATTAGTTACCGCTTTGCAATGATTTAACCGAGAGACGCATCCCTGGTAATCACGTGATCGTGCTGTCGACGGCCGCGATTGGCTGATCGCTTGGTTACACCGCCACGCCTTAGTTTTTTTGACCTTTCGATATAGAGTTTGTAACCTTAGTAACGGAGACAGTGCAGCCAAGGGTTACCCTCAGCGGACCCTTTTGAGAAAAGTGAGTCGATTGGTAGCCTTTCCCTTGTTTTTTTATTTATAACCGTTGGTATTTGAGACTTTATAACCATTGTATTTAGACTTTATAATAATT